TATCCCAGACCCAAAAAGATGAACATGGGATGTACTCACTCATAATTGGTTTCTAGCCATAAATAAGGGTCACGGAGTCTACAATAGGTGAATCTAAAGAAGCTAAGTAAGAAGGGGAACCCAAGGAAAAACATATAGTTATCCTCTTGGCTAAGGGAAGTAGACAAAATTGCCAGGGAGAAAATTGGGATCTTGGGGTGGGGTGGTTTGGGGGTAAGGGGAGATGGGGAGAGAAAAGTTAGAAGGGAAGGAGGACGGGCCTTGGGATAGCAGGAGGATTGGGATAAAGGAAGGTTGGACAGGGGAGCACGGAACCACAATTCTTAGTTAAGGGAACCACTTTAGGGTTGGCAAGAGACCTGACCCTAGAGGGGCTCCCAGGTGCCCAAGCTGAGGTCCCCAGTTAGTTCCTTGGGCAGTTGAGAATAGGGAACCTGAAATGACCCTATCCTTGAGCAATACTGACGAATATCTTGCATATCATCATAGAACCTTCATCTGGTGATGGATGGAGATAGAGACAGAGACCCACACTGGAGCACTGGACTGAGCTCCCAAAGTCCCAATGAGGAGCAGAAGGAGGGAGAACATGAGCAAAGAAGTCGGGACCACGAGGGATGCACCCACCCACTGAGACAGTGGAGCTGATCTATTGAGAGCTCACCAAGACCAGCTGGACTGTGACTGAAAAAGCATGGGATAAAACTGGACTCTCTGAACATGGCGAACTATGAGGGCTGATGAGACGCAAAGGACAATGGCACGGGTCCTACGTAATGTGATGGCTTTGTGGGAGCCCAGCCAGTTTAGATGTTCACCTTCCTAGATATGGTCGGAGGTGGGAGGTCCTAGGTCTTACCACAGGGCAGAAAACCCTGACTGCTCTTTGGACTGGAGAGGGAGGGGGAAAGGAGTGGGGGGGGAGGGGAGATGGGGGGAGGAGGGGGTGTAGGGGGGGAGGAGGGGGAGGGAAATGGGAGGCTGGGAGGAGGTGGAAACTTGTTTTTTTTTTTCGCCTTTTCTCAATAAAAAAAAAGACTGAGAAAAAAAACAGAGAAGTTGATCAATGGAATAGAGTAGAAGAGCTGGATTTTATCCCACAAATGTATGAACATCTGATATTTGATAAAGGAGCTAAAATTATTCAATGGAAGGAAGAAAGCATCTTCAACAAGTGGTGCTGGCAGATCTGGTCGTCAACCTGTAGAAAAATGAAAATAGATCTATATCTATCGCCATGGACAAAAATCAAGTGAGAATGGATTAAAGACCTCAATATCAGGCTGAACACACTGAACCTGATAGAAGAGAAAGTGGGAAGTACTCTACCACATATGGGCACAGGAGATCACTTCCTAGGCATATCCCCAGCAGCACAGACATTAAGGACAATATTGAATAAATGGAACCTCCTGAAACTGAGAGGCTTCGGTTAAGCAAAGGACACTGTCACTAAGACAAGAAGGCAACCCACTGACTGGGAGAAGATCTTCACCAAATGGCAACAGACAAATATCTGATATCCAAAATATATAAAGAAACTGAATATTAAAATGCTAATAAATACAATTCAAAATTAGGGCACTGAACTGAAAGGAGAATTCAAAACAAAAGAAGTTCAAATGACCAAAAGACACTTAAGGTCATGCTCGTCCTCCATGGTGATCTGGGAAATGCAAATTACAACAAATTAGAGATATCACCTTACACCAGTCAGAATGGCTAAAATCTAAAAGACAATGATAGACTTTGCTGGAGAGGTTGTGGAGTAAGGGGCACACTCATTCATTGTTGGTGGGAAGGCAAACTTGTGCAACCACTTTAGAAATCTGTGCCGTGATTTCTCAGGAAATTTGGGATCAACCTACCCCAAGATCCAGTAATACCACACTTGGGAATATACCCAAGAGATGCCATATCATATGTCAAAAGCATTTCTTTTTTTTTTTTTTTAAAAAACAACTTCTGATCCAGGCAGTGGTGGCGTACACTTTCTTTTATTTTATTTATTATTATGTATACAATATTTTGTCTGTGTGTATGTCTGCAGGCCAGAAGAAGAGGGCACCAGACCTCTTAACAGATGGTTGTGAGCCACCATGTGGTTGCCAGGAATTGAACTCAGGACCTCTGGAAGAGCAGGCAATGCTCTTAACCACTGAGCCATCTCTCCAGCCCAAAAGCATTTCTTCAATTATGTTCATAGCAGCATTATTTGTAATAGCCAGAACCTGGAAACAACCTAGATGCCATTCAATGGAAGAATGGATGATGAAAGTGTGGAGTATATACATATACTATTCAGCGGTTAAAAAAAAAATGACTTCGCGAATTTTGCCTGAGAATGGATGGTAATAGAGAACACTATCCTAAGTGAGGTATCCCTGACTGAAAAAGATGAGCATGGGATGTACTCACTCCTAATTGGTCTCTAGCCATAAATTAAGGACATTGAGCATATAATTGATGATTCTAGAGAAGCTAAATAAAAACGTGAACCCCCCCCCCCCCAAAAAAAAGACATATAGTCATCTGCCTGGATATGGGAAGTAGACAAGATTGCAGGGCAAAACCTGGGATCTCGGGGGTGAGGTGGCTTTTGGCTATGGGGAAATGGGGTGAGAAATGTGAGAAGGGGAGAATGGGAGCATCATGGGAAAATGGGATGTTTGGGATATAGGAAGGGTGGGCACAGTAGCAGAGAAATTTATATCCTAATTAAGGGAGCCATCTTAGAGTTGGCAAGAGACTTGTCTCTAGTGGGGCTCGCAGGTGTCCTGGAAGATGTCCCCAGATAGTACCTTTAGCAACTGAGGAGAGGGAACCTGAAATGACCCTATCCTATAGCCATACTGATGAAAATCTTTCATATCACCTTAGAGCCTTCATCTGGCGATGGATCGAGATATAGACAGAGACCCAAATTGGAGCACTTGACTTAGCTTAAGATCCCAAGGCCAGCTGGAATGTGACTGAAAAAGCATGGGATAAAACCGGACTCTCTGAATCTGGCGGACAAAGATGGGTGCTGGGAAGCCAAGAACAATGACACTGTCAATGATCCTACTTCATGTTCTGGCATTGTGGGATCCTAGCCAGGTTGGATGTTCACCTTCCTAGGTTAGGATGGGGGGGGAGGAGCACTTTGGACTTTCCACAGGGCAGGAACCCTGACTGCTCTTCTGTCTGGAGAAGGAAGGTAGAGCAGTGGGGGGAGGGGAAGAAGAGTGGGATGAGGAGGAGGGAAATGGGAGGCGGGAAGAAGGCAGAATTTTTTTTTCAATTAAAAAATTAGATCCAAATGAAGAGCAGAAGGAGGGAGAACATGAGCAAGGAAGTCAGGACAATGAGGGATGCACCCACCCACTATGATAGTGGAACTGATCTATTGGGAGCTCACTGTGGCCAGCGGGACTGGGACTGAAAAGCATGGAATGAAACCGTACTTTCTGAAACTGGTAGAGAAAGAAGGCTGATGAGAAGCCAAGGAAAATGGCACTAGGTTTCGATCCTAATACATGAACTGGCTTTGTGGGATGCTGTTTGGATGCTCACCTTCCTGGTCCTGGATAGAAGTGTGAGAACCTTGGACATCGGAGCGGGCAGAGAATCTGGACTGCTCTTCAGTCTTGAGAGAGAGGGGGAATGGAGTTGGGGGAGGGGAAAGGGTTACAGAAGTGAGGGAATGGGACACTGTGTGTGAGGATGGGGAGGGTAATGAGAAATGGGAAGGAGGTGGAAATTTTTTGCAATAACTAAAAAATAAAATAAACAAAAGAAAAAAGAAAAAGTCAAGGAAGCAATGACTAAACAGAAATCACCATTTGAATCATAGCAACGTGAGAGCTATGTAGTAGATCTGTCAGTCCATTTCTTTCTTGCTACTTATGACAATAACTGTATACACACTTCAGTGATGAGTGTAGCTGCAAACTTTCTCCTAAATCAATAGCCTATGGTAAGACTTGGATTACTCTTAGACTTTTTGTAACTTGCTAAGTTTAGTGAAAGTGGCAATTAGAGTCAAGGGTCAAGGGGCAGTTGTTGTGGAGAAACCTTAATATCTATACCACAAGTCTATGAGGAACAGAAAGTGAAACCATGAGGATTCAATGTGGAAATCTTTTATTTACTATTCTTCCTTTACTATGTATATCATATGTTCCTCTTGATACAAGCATATGAGAATATGGATATGGAAAGATGTAGCATACGTCTCATTAAGAACAATTAGAAGATAAACTGTACTTCCCATGGAGAATATACTTGTTCAGTTAAGTCCAAGTATACAGTAATTGGTTTTCTACCATCATTGTTAATACATAAACAACTTCACATTACAAAAAAGCCCCATGAGTTCTAAGTCTGCCTATACTTCTTGGTGTCTTTGTTCATTTAGCCAATGTATAAGGATTCATAGTAAAATTTATGAATGCAGTAAAGTTTGTAAGGCACTCAGTGTATGCAGTTCTTTTAAAAAACATGAAAAATATCATAGAAAAATATAGGGATAGGTATAGATGAAATGGTAAACCGTGACACAAAAGAATTGATCATCACAAATATTTTTCCAGATGCAAAATGACCCCTAATGAAAGAAGAAAACATGATTTTAAATGAAGTTATAAGACATTAATATTTTATTCATTTTTACAATTGGAACAAATTATGAAATTAATTCATACAGATCTGAGGTTCAACAGTGTATTGAATGTGGTAAAGCTTTGACATGTGTAAATTATCCTTGCAGGATTAAAACATCAAATTGGAGAGAAATTTTCAGGATGTTCTCACTGTGATAAAGCCTTGTCTTATGACACTCACCTTCTAAGGAATGAAAAAACACATACCAGAGAAAAATGCTGTGAAATTAAGTAATGTGGTAAAGCCTTTGATTATCACAGTCATCATCAAATGCATGAAAGTACACACACTGGAGAGAAACCCTATGAATATAGTCAAGATGATAGAGACTTAGTTCTTTATGAAACTCATCACAGTCATAAAAGAACACAAAATAAAGAAAAATCAAATGAATTTAATCTGCTTGGTAAGGCGTTTGCTGATCACAGTCATCTTCAAAGGCATAAAAGAACACATACTGGAGAGAAACCCTATGAATGTAGTCAGTGTGGTAAATACTTTGCATGTCTGGATTGTTTTCAATTGCATGAAAGAACACATACTGGAGAAAAACCCAATGAATGTAATCAGTGTGGTAAGGCATTTGCTCAACGTGGTAGTCTTCAAAAGCATAAAAAAACACATACTGGAGAGAAACCCTATGCATGTAATCAGTGTGGTAAGGACTTTGCTGAAAAGAGTACTCTTCAAAAGCATAAAAGAACACACACTGGAGAGAAACCCTATGAATGGAATCAGTGTGGTAAGGCATTTGCTCAACACAGTCATCTTCAAAGGCATAAAAAAAGACATACTGGAGGGAAACCCTATGCATGTAATCAGTGTGGTAAGGCCTTTGCTGAAAATAGTACTCTTCAAAAGCATAAAAGAGCACACACTGGAGAGAAACCCTATGGATGTAATCAGTGTGGTAAGGCCTTTGCTCAACGTCGTACTCTTCAAATGCATAAAAGAATACATACGGGAGAGAAACCCTATGAATGTAATCAGTGTGGTAAGGCCTTTTCACGTCATAGTTACCTTCAATACCATAAAAGAGCACATACTGGAAAGAAACCCTATGAATGTAATCAGTGTGGTAAGGCCTTTGCTCAACGTGGTAGTCTTCAAAAGCATAAAAGAACACATACTGGAGAGAAACCCTATGAATGTAATCAGTGTGCTAAGGCCTTTGCTGAAAATAGTACTCTTCAAAAGCATAAAAGAACACACACTGGAGAGAAACCCTATGAATGTAATCAGTGTGGTAAGGCCGTTGCACGTCATAGTTACTTTCAATACCATAAAAGAGCACATACTGGAGAGAAACCCTATGAATGTAATCAGTGTGGTAAGGCCTTTGCTCAACGTGGTACTCTTGAAATACATAAAAGAATACATACTGGAGAGGAACCCTATGAATGTAATCAGTGTGGTAAGGCCTTTGCACGTCACAGTCACCTTCAAAGGCATAAAAGAACACATACTGGAGAGAAACCCTATGAATGTAATCAGTGTGGTAAGGCCTTTGCACGTCACCGTCATCTTCAAAGGCATAAAAGAACACATACTGGAGAGAAACCCTATGAATGTAATCAGTGTGGTAAGGCCTTTGCACGTCACAGTCATCTTCAAAGGCATAAAAGAACACATACTGGAGAGAAACCCTTTGAATGTAATTAATGAGGTAAGGTCTTTTCTCACAACTGTGCTCTTCAAAATCATAAAAGAACACATAATGGAGAGAAACCCTATGAATGCCAGCAATGTGGTAAGGACTTTGCATGTCACAATCATCTTCAATTGCATAAAAGAACACATACTGGATAGATACATGTGAATGGAATCTGTCCTGAATCCTTTTTCCCAATCATCTCCAAATATGTAAAATAAGACATCCTATAGAGAAACTCTGAGTTTAATATGTGTGTTCTTTAAAAACATGAGAAAAATCATACTGTAGTGATACTCTTTGAAAATCAGTGTCAGAATGTTTGTGCTTCATATAGGAGTAAGACTTTTTGTGTGTAATCAATCTGATTAAGTTTGTGGTGCATATTACCATAATCTTTGGACCTGAGGAAAAAACTGAGGGCTTATTGTAAATTATTCTTTAAACAAAAACAGTTATTGTATAGAAAAGAATTTTATAGTGTCAAAAATTTGTTCAAGCATCATGATACCTCTTATTATTTTAGTTTGAAGTAGCAAACTAATGGACAAACATTTTATGAAGCATTATTGGTTGGAGAAAGGGTATTCAAAGAAACATACATTGGTCCTGAAACCAGAGCCAAAAGAAAGTACCTTGTCTCTGAATCTAGAAGTAGTTAAAGAAACAACATCTCTCTGAAAACAGCCCAGCATTAAAAGGGGCCAGTAAACACACACTATTTGGCTCTCAAATCAGATCCATAAAAACAAACTCTATCCTTGTCCAACTGAGCACAAAAGCAACGAATCCCTCGGCATAAAATCAAGCCATCCCTGAGCTTTTTCAGGATCAGGGATTGAAATCCAGCAAAATCCCACCATCAAAATCTCCTTTGCTCTCTGTTATTAAGAAGTCCTATTTGAGCCATATGCTCATTCAGTATGCAGCTGTCCCTTCCACACTTTGCAGAGGTATTCATACTCATGTTTTCTTCCTTCTCAAATAAATCTGATTCAAGATTTATGTGAATACCTCTTTTACTGGAATGTTTCAGAAACTCCTGGAGTTGAGCCAAGATGCAATTGATGCCTCTGTTTAGGAACTAGTTCAGAAGATGACAGAGGAATTGGACATATACTATGAAATATTCCCTTGGGAATGGAGGAGATCAGCACCAGATATTTCTACTGGGAAACTTTCTTTTTTTTGGTTTTTGTTTTTTTTTTCTTCTGTTTTTTGAGACTGGGTTTCTCTGTAGCTTTGGGGCCTGTCCTTGAACTAGCTCTTGTAGACCAGGCTGGTCTCTAACTCACAGAGATAGATCCACCTGCCTCTGCCTCCCAAGTGCTGGGATTAAAGCTGTACACCACCACTGCCCAGCCTGGAAAACTTTCTTAGAAGAATTAATTTCTTTTACTTCAAGTCAATGTTCACTTTTTCTTTACATGAACCAATTTATTGTGTAAGTAAGCTGTACAATGATTCTCAGCTCCTCTTTTACAGAAATGAATGAATGTTTACAGGAGGAAAGTGTTCATGAGTGAAAAACTGTCTTAAAAGTTGTGTTCATTTTAGTTATGTGATGTTTGTGTGTGTCTCTTGTGTGTATTTGAATGTGCATTCTGTATCCACATAAAGATAATACCTTGGATATGATTGCAGAAGAAATTACTGGAAGCTGTCAAACATCTGACATTAGTTCTCACCTAGGCATGACTCTAGTGCCTCATATATTTTTAGTCTATTTATATCTTTTTGAAATCTGGAAATAGGAACACACTCTTAGAAAAAAGAAAGTTCAATTCATGACAACAATTGGTTAATTTCTTTCACAGTTTTCTTTAGCTTTAAGTAAAAATTTTTTATCATAACCTTGAAGGAAGTAAATTACATACCATGGTTAATCAAGACTGGTGGAGATCATTGCATTGTGGTTTCTACATTGAAATATTTGAAGTATGTACTAAAGTGAGCTATTTGTGTGGCAAATCCATTTAGTGAATTCTATTTTGTAGTCTTTATATTACTTCTATGGATTTTGTTCATCTTTTATTGTGCCTTTACCAAGTGATGGGTATTTTTTTGCTATAATGTATAGAATGGTAAACCCATCATACTTGTTTCCCATTGGTTATTGAAGTGTCAGGCCATGTGGGAACATACTTTTTGAGTAAATCTTTTGGGTTGTTTCTGGATTAGATTTTTATCTTTTCAGGAATTCCCTTCAGCTTTTGTTTGTTATTAATCCTAGCTTGGATATCAGTAAAAATTTAGGGATAATTTGAACTCATGGTGCTCATATGTCTGCCCCCTGTATACAAGTCCAAGGGTCGATCATAAACTCCAAATGTGTGTGGTTTTTCAATAGAATTTGACAATATTCACATTAAAATGACTGATAAAATAAATAATAAGAAACATGAAATACCTTATGTGTATTCAAAGAAGTATTTTCATTCATGTTTTATAGATGTAATAAAGTAGTATAATCAGCAATCAACTGTTTATCTGACACCATAATTAATGTTCTTTTCTTTTAAATTTTTTTGATCTTTATTGAGCTCTACATTTTTTGCTGCTCCCCTCCTGCCTCCTCCCTTCCCTTCAATACTCTCACAAGGACCAATCCTCCCAATTTACTCTGGAGATCTTGTCTTTTTCTAATTCGCATGTTTATTAGAACTTTGTATGCCTCTTTAGTGTCCTCATGTTGTCTAAGTTCTCTGGTGCTGTGATTTGTAGGCTGGTTTTCTTTGCTTTATGATTAAAACCCACTTAATGACTAAGTACATGTGATAATTGTCTTCTGTGTCTGGGTCACCTCACTCAAAATGATGTTTTCTAGCTCCATCCATTTTTCTGGAAAGTTCAAGATGTAATCGAGGTTGGGATTCTAGTCTTGCCCATAAGAGTCCTTTCCCACTGAGTCATCTCATTGGTGCTCAAATTCTTCTAATTGAAGTTGAGTCTTATTTTCTTTTCAAATTGTAAATGCAATTTCATACAAGAATAGAGGACCATGGGAAAATTTGAATAGTCAGTCTGCTATGCATGTGAAAATATTCTTACCAGCACAGATTTTTTTAATTTCTTCACTCTGAGAACAAGACATGTATTTATATTTTCTCAAAACCAAAATTACATGCCAAAAAGTTGCATCATTTATTAAAGTTCATTGCCTCTAAGTCTGATAACCTGGCTTCCATATCTTGTTTACCCTAATACTCTTACAAATTTTTTCATATTTGCTGACTTCATCAGTTTTTATACACACTCCTACATCATCTCATTCACAAACAATTTTTAAACGAAAGGAAGTGTCTTTCAGTGTATTTGCAGTCAAATGACTCCCTAGGTTTAAGGACTAAAACTCACAAAGTGGAAGTAGATCATAGACCCCTGTTAATTTTCCTATCTGTGCTACATGCACATCATGTTGCAGGTGTATTCACAAAAACACACTTCAAATATTTTTTTAAAATATTTATTTATTTATTATGTATACAATATTCTGTCTGTATGCCTGAAGGCCAGAAGAGGGCGCCAGACCTCTTTACAGATGGTCGTGAGCCACCATGTGGTTGCTGGGAATTGAACTCAGGACCTTTGGAAGAGCAGGCAATGCTCTTAACCACTGAGCAATCTCTCCAGCACCACTTCAAACATTTTTAAATGGATGGAATTGACAATGCAATAACAATGACTCATTTTGAACATATGAAATTATTTGGCCATTTAAATTATACAATTTGAAGAAATACTGTTATTTATCAATACAATGATGTTCCCTTTTAAGTCTTTCATTATGTTTTTTTTTTTTTACTCAATAAGTCCTTTACAAACATTTCAGCTCAACATAGAGGTGCATGGCTCTAATCACAGAACACAGGAGTGTGGGTGGGTCCAATCTCAGTGAGTTTGACGCCAGCTTGTTCCACATAATGCATACCTGGCATCAATGGCTATGTGGACATATCCTATCTCAAAAAGATCACAAAAGACAAAGACTCCCAAAATATGGAAGTTCTCCTAATAAAATCTGCCTGGAGTCAGACTGATTTCAACCAACCTTTTAAATATTCCCTCACCTAACGAGAACTGTCTTAACAATGAAAATATGAAGCAATATACAAATTTCATTCACATTCCATCCATTGAATCTTTGACAACCATCTCGAGTGGACTTTATCCTTCAAGTGATGAGAGACAGAAGGAACAGTGTGACTACTCTCCCTTAAGAATTATGACACATGTGGGACCTGGAGAGTTGTCTCAGGAGTACTGCTCCTCTTGGGTACCCAAGTTTGACTCATAGCACCATATCTGATTGGACAGAACTCCCTGTAATTGGAGGTCCTGGAAATGGGTGCATTCTTCTGGCCTCTTAGGGTACAAAATGTACAAATACTGAAAAGATAGATCTGTATTTGATTCTATATTTTAAATAGGTTTTCTTCATGTGTCTGTTACCTTAAAAAGGAATGAAATTCAATCTAGATGTAGGAATTTGACCAGTGAGTGTAGCAAGTGTATCTCAGGTACTAGTGATGACCAGAAGACAGTGTCTACTCTCCTGGGACTGGAGGTACAGACAGTTGTGAGCTGTCTTATGGATGCTGAGTATCAAAGATTCTCTGGATGAGTCGCCAATGATCTAAGAGCTGAGCCTTCTTTTCAGCCTCCTGAACATGTCATTTATAACAGTAAGGTATAAAAGGCTGATCTAAGTTCATCTTAACTCATCCTTGGCCCAGAAGAAATAAAGGACTGATAGTATTGGAAACTAACTTAGTCTTTGTTCTTTTTTTGTCTTTGTTCTTAAAGAATTCCTGAGCCCAAATGTTACTCAACTGAGGGAAAAATACAAAACAAATAATCAGGAAACAAGCTGAAAATGTAAGTCTTTAAAAGATAGTTGGTGGCTGGGCGATGGTGGCACACTCCTTTAATCCCAGCAGTCGGGAGGCAGAGGCAGGCAGATCTCTGTGAGTTCGAGACCAGCTTGGTCTACAGAGCTAGTTCCAGGACA